AAATAAACACATTATATCAGACTTGGTTTGAGAGCAAGCTTTGGTGGTTTGGAAAATAATGGACCAGCTAACAGTCCTTATACAGTCAAACCAGTCCAGAAATGCAGCAGAAGACTAAAAGGGAGTCAGGCAATATTTGAATTATTCTTGAGAGCAAATGGAGCTACAAAAATTGAGGAACACAAAGTAGGCCTTTTTTTTAATATGACAGGGAACTTTACTGCTGCTTTAGAGGCAGCAGTAACTTTATTCAATAGTTTTGCACTAAGTGTAAGAGGCAAGCCACTTCTGAGATGGTGGTAACTAAAATGGAAGTGTATTGCAGGCCTCAAACAAGTTAAACTTTTGAGAGGCATCAGTTTGGTGGGACAGGGAGTTTGGGGGTGGGATGCAGAGGCATGACTAGTGATTTTTGTGCCCTGGGCAGAGATGGGGTGGGGTGGAAGGTATGTGTGTGTGTATGTGCACAGGTATGTGGCTTCTGCTGTCAAGGCTGGCTCCCTGTACCTTGCTTGCTTGGGTCTGGGACCAGCTGTGCACACCCTGCCTGGCTGAGGCAGCTGGGTCATGCACTTCCCAGGGGCTGTGTCCCCTCTAAATCAGCTGGTGCCCCCATTACCACCCCTAGTAATACTACGGACAGGGCAAGTGTGAGGGCAGGGCCTGCCACAGAACTCAGGTCTACAGGGTGCCACTTGTCATGGCAATGACCAATGGATTTCAGGTAAAAGAAACAAAATATCCACACGCTTTGCTCTGAAGAAGGGAACAGCAGCATATCTCATAGCAAAGGCTGTAGCAACACTAATTTCAGACCAAAGTTTTTCCTTATAGAAACTCGGCAACAGACAGGTGTCACCACAGGCTGGGCCATTACACTGAATACAAATGAAATGTACCGCTTATGTTAGATATTGTTTTCAGAGTCTGTGAATAGGAGTCTAAAGGAAAAGCCTACCCAAATAGAGTTAAGACGAGTAAACCTTAAGTACTGGTGGGGAACTAATTCCAATAAAAGGTAATGGTGAATTTAAAGTAAATAATAAAAAACCAAAACAAAATAAGAAGGTGTGATTGTAGCTAGGACTGATGTTTCAATGCTGGGGCTGAAAA